TATATATATATATATATAACCCTTGCCACCTTCAGGTTTTCGTAGTTTTCTTCTCGATGTAATGCAAGTGCGGATAGGTTCCATGAAAAAGTACTCCACAAAGTCAAATTTTTCCCTATACTTGATCCAGGAGTTCCCTTGTCTTCAGGATTGGGTTCAAAATTACAAGGCTACGGAGTTGAACTTTAGTAGTCGTAATCCCAAAAATTTAGTCGACTTTTCAATGACCGTTATAAAATAAAATATAGTGCTGTCAATTTAGGCAGAGATATACCAGCTTTTCAGGTGTCACATGAAATAAATAAATACATATATTAAGTGACAAATATCTGATGCGTGGTCCTTTTATAACAAGAGAAAAATATATTTTGTATTAAAGTTGGTTTAAAACATTTCGTAGTACTTCACTTTTATGAGGCTGTGAAACTACGTTCTTTAAGTTCTTGTAGTTTTTTAGCATCGATGATTCATAAACGATGCCTTTGTAGCCTCAAAAAATTTACATGGTGTAAAATTTCTGGATCTGTTGGCCATGTAATTAAATGAAAATCATTTATTATTCGTACGCCTGTAACAATATTTTTAAACTGCGAAATTTATCAACGGTCACAGGGCGACTAAATATAGTAATTGGTGATTGAAAAATTGCTTGCACTGTAAAAAATTTATGATAAAAGTGCGGTAAAAAATACTGGCAACCTGGATGCCGCATCCATAAAATCCATTTTCCCCATAAAATTTTCTGGAGAAATTTAGAGTAATATTTATTTAATTACACCGATTTATAGTGATTTTGCAGTAAATATTACTGTTAAAATTACGGTACACTACATTAATGTTCCTGAAAAGTTTACGGTAAAAATTTATTTTAAGGTAAAAAGTACCGGTACTCTGGTTTCCAGTAGTTCTCACCATAATTAGATCCAGAATTTTTTACACTGTGCCAATCACAATCCAATCACCATATTATGGTAAAAAATTCACTCCAAGTGCATTTTATTATTATTAGTTTGCAATAAATATGGAATTATTACAAATATTTTATATTGTTCAGAAAATTACTTTGTTTTAAGCTTGTTTCTTAATTTTTATTTTCCTTTTAGAAATGAACCTTGTTTCAGTTTGTCATATTTTTAAAAAGGCTTCAACCATCCATTCTTTGCCTTACATTATCATTATTATTCCTTTTAAGTTTCTCTATTTTTGAAAAATTAGCCACATACCTTAAAATGTTGCCACAGTTATAAATGATACAACTGGCCAATAGTATAATTTCTGAATTTGTCCTAAAACTGATGCCAAAAACGCTGCATAAAAGACGCTTTTGTTCAGATTTAGGAATCATTGCCAACGGAATAGTACAAATATGAGGAACGAACAAGATTATAGTTTTTTGTCAGTGTAACTAAAAGAATCACTTATCCAGAATTTGTAACTGAAAAAAAAACCTTAGCATGTATATATTTTTTAGTTTTGTTTTATTGTGGTAGGTGTAATAGTTTTTAAAGTAGAATATGCATTTTTGTTGCTTTCATCCTATATGATACATTATACACTTGAGAAGTCAAAGGAAGTTGGAGAAAAAACCACCCTATTGGAAATTTGTGTTTTGGTAAATCTCATCTTACTGATTTTAAAACTGTTCTGGAAATAGAAACAAATTCAGGCTGTTAAATACATGAAGCTTTAAATGATGAAAATGTTTTATTCAAATAATAATTACTTCAAGATTTCCTCCTAAAAAACTTTAAACAGTTATTTACCAAGTGCTTAAACAAGCCTTTAGGACAAACTCTTAGGTTGAAGCTAATTTAAATCTAAGCTAACTTTTTTTAAAATTCTATTCTAATAAGCTTGTCTTTTGGTGTTAGAATGCTTATCTATGATTTGCAACTCGTCTAGGTACGTTTTAACCAAATTTTCTCAAAATGCAAAGTTAAAAGCGATACTTTCAGTTCCGTTACAGAATTTAGTTTAGAAGCTCTAAACACATGCGCAAAAAATAACGTCGAAATTTTAAATTGTAAGTTGCAAACCATTCATTCATTTCCAAATTTAATTCAACATGGTCTGGATGCACACACAATAATTAACGCCAAAAGAAATGATGAAGTGGTGACAGCTACTCTAATCCATTTGTTACTCGCTTAA